TTCCTTGTAACAGGCCGTGAAGGCCCATAGGGTTGTGAGACGTCGAGGCTCCCACATTTTCTAGACAATCGACTTAGAGATGGCGGTGATGCTGTCAGCCTTATGCCCCGGCCGCCCTTTACCCGCCAGGAAGATTCCCGGTACTCATTTCTGTTAGAGGTTGAGTCAGCCACTGGGCCATAGTGCGGCTGGAAGGATTAGGTCAATTAAAAAAATCCAACGATCTAATCAGGAATCGAGTTCACAACCTTTCGGCTTGTAGCACAGTGCCTCAACCAACTACGTTACCGCGTGCCCCATAAGTTTTCTCTTATTTCGGTTACTAAACTGGGAGCCGAATATTTAGATGTGAAAACAATTAAATGTTGTTTTGTCTTCGTGTGAAGTATTTACGGGACACTTTCCCTCTCTCCACGCCTCGAAGGGCAGTGTAAGGACATAACTACCAATTACATTTCATAATCATCGTGTCATTTCATGTTTGCCGCCGTACAGCTTCCTCAGTCGACACGTCTTTGTTACACAAACTAAGAAGCTGCTACTCTGCGACTCAAACAGGCCCAACAGTTCACGACAGCAATGTGACCACCGTTTCCATAGGAACGACCCGCCCGTGGGGGGGGGGCGTGGAAACAAACGGGTCTGCGGTTCCGAAGAATTGATTTATGGAATCACGTACAACAAATACATTTTCTGATGGCTCACACTTGGTGTAACACAAGGCTAAAGCTTCATAGATACCAGCATCTTGTTTGTATCGCCGTGCAGTTAGGCAGAAGTCTCACCGACGTTTCGGAGGAACGTATTGCTACTGTCCTCAGGATAGAAAACCAAACCTTCACATACTCATTACTAACTTCTTGCTTCGTTTAATTTCTGCCGTCAAGACGAAGACGAGGTTTCTCCGAAACGTCGACGGACTTGTACCGCACTACACGGCCCTACATCGTCATGCGAACCTCAAACCCATTAGAGGCTGAAGTTCGATTGGGACGTCAGCCGCGGCAGATCGGTCCTTCGTACTGTACGTGACAGCCGCCCTGGGCTTGTACCCGGAAGGTTGTCGGTTCAAATCTCGGCCCGTGACACCGGCTACTTGACTTATATTCTTCGTCCTTTTTCTCAGTCCCTCCAAAATCGGGAAATCAGTGTGATTAATCCGGGGCTGTTTCCTTATAATTACCTTTCAATTCATCGTCCATCATCAGTCCTGTCATTCGGAGCCGTACAGTCTGGCTACTGACAACGCCACAAAGAAGACATAATCCGATTGCTGGGGGTAGTAAAAAATGGAATTCCCTCCCTGACAAAGATAAATTTATCCCTAGGCGTAATTAGTTACGCAACACGCCATGAAGACGCATGGGGGTATGAAGGTATAGCTCTACCATTATTGATCTCGGTAACAGATGGAGGTGTTTGGTCAGCTTCACGCCCCGGCCGCCTTACTCAATGTGAGACAGTCTAGATGCAGCCCACAGCTGGTCTGAACAATACGAACGTAAGGTAAAGGGTAAAGCTATCCCTGTAACAGGCCGTGGAAGCCCATAGGGGATGTGAGACATCGAGGCTCCCACATTTTGTAGACAATCGGCTCACAGGTTGTCAGCCTCACGCTCCCGGCCGACCTTTAGCCTCCAGAAATATTCCTGGTACTCATTTCTGTTAGAGACTGGGTCGACCCCAGGGCCATAGTGCGGTTGGAAGGATTACGTCAATTGAAAAAATCCTATGATTCGTCGGGATTCGATCTCGCGATCTTCCGGCTTGTAGCACAGTGTCCCAGCATACAACCAGTAGGTGGATAGAACAGTAGTTCTGTGGCATGTGTTACACGCATTTTAGGCGAGAAATCCTCCTAACACGAACTGTGTTAAAAGGGTAATGCAGTAGAGAAAACCTCTTGCCTCTGCCGGGAATCGCACCCCGTACCCTCAGTCTTCCAGCCCGTAGCCTAGTCTCTATACCGACTGAGCTACATGCCTAGTGACGTAATAAAGGAGTTTTAGGCCGCTAGGGCTCGGTCGATATGGCAGTGCTCAACCGAGTAACGTTTCCCATGTGAACAGTAGCCGAAGGGATGGTGGAGCACCCTTCGCCTTCATCCCAAAAGACATCCCTAAATTTATGCTAACTCAGTCCTACACGTCCGTCCGCAAGACGTCAGGACTTCCGCGGTCTGGTGGGGAGACGCATGGCTTGCCAGCAGGTACACAGAAGCCGAACATGAAGTTGTCACAGCCGTGACATTCTGGGACCTGAGTTCAACGGCGTCTCGAAGGACTTTACTGCCTCCATCTTCAGGGCCAAACAGTATGCGGAGCAAGATGAAAGCAGAGCTTTGCTTAGTGTCAAGGTCTTTCTCATTGCTTGGCTTAACTCCCGATCCTGAAGATCGATACATAGGTTGTCGAAAGCCGGCGGTAAAGTTGTATCAGACTACATATGGCCTCACTCTTCTACTCTGAAGAAAGAAGCAGGCCGTTCCTTCGAAAAATTGGTACATTCTTCGAATTACCAAGACATCACATGCCAGACAAGTTTTCTTGTAGGATACTTGGCTCAGAAACCCACGCAACCATGGGCCCACCCGTATAGGCGCCGGCAAAAGGGAGTGCGCCCCTCCACCTGAAGTTCTAGAAATAACACAAATTTTCAGAAGAAGGAAATATACCAAAGTTAAATCTCAGATATAAGAACTATGTGATCTCCGTGCTGTGTGTGTGTCTCCAAATCCCTATCAGACCATGAACAGTTGCACCCATCTTCACGAAACTTGGTATGAATGGCACGACACCTGAGCGTATCTCAACAGCGTGCTTCAGTCTGCGTGTCTGTATGTGTAGCCCCCATCGTTGCTAGGCAACGGCTCAGTATATACGTTCCCGCGACAACAAATACACGAAACAAAGAATTGTTGGATACGTCGTTTTCTATGCGGTTCGTGTTGTATCAAAAGTGAGTCTGTGGGGATGTGTATTCCCAGTTTTGCTAGGCAACAGCTCAATAAACACGTTCCTACGGCAACGAAGAATTGTTTGATGCGTTGTTTTCTATACGATCCGTGTTGTATCAAAGGACAGTCTGTGGGTATGTGTATTCTCAGTCTTTGCTAGGCAACGGCTCGGTAAACATGTTCTCGTGACAACGAAGAATTGTTTGAGGCGTTGTTTACTATGCGGCCCGTGTCGTATAAAAGGAAACTTGCCGATTGGTTCTTCCCATAACTTACTGTTTAAATTTATTCCTCTATCTTGAATACATTTTCACTATCAGAGAAAATTGTTTTTAACAGCCACATACACAAAACGATAAACACAACTATACAGGCAGAGTGAAACTACATTCAAAGGGGCATACATGACTACACGAACACATACAAACGCCCTTGCGGCTGCGCAAGTAAATCCAAACAAGATGACCTCAAACAATGACGTTTGGATGAATGGATAATGCCTTCAAGCAAAATATTCAATTTTTAACTATTTTTCACTGTTTTAATTGTACTCCATATATTTTAAGTTACGAGATACAGCATTCAGATACGATACGAGAAGCTGAACATTACATTACAGTGCAACAATTTTAGTCACCTGATGAAGGCCCTGTACGGCCGAAACATGTTGTGAGAAAGAAAGTGGACAACAATAACAATAATAATGCATTGTAGACGGAAATGTATGAAATAATCAATTGTTTTTAACGATTTAACCTTGCGGAGTCCGTAAGTAAATTTTCTGGCCCGCTACTTGGAAGAATTCGAGCTGTTGCCGTTGCACGGAACCTGGTGCAGACTTCTGAGATGTTCATACCCAAAACGGGCACGCCACTTTCCGCTTCCTGTTTTCAGAAGGCGGGCTTAAGCCAAGCGTTTTCCGGAGGGCATCTTGAACATATTTTCATAATCACAGGGGAATAAAACTTCTGAATGAAGTGAATTACGCTTAAAAGGGAAGTCCATGCTTTGATAAAAAGCATAAATTTCTGGCAGGTTCGTTTTAAAGTCAATTCGTCCCACACAAGATTTGCAGTCAATGGACTTCCAGAAGAGTGAACTGATTTTCTTCTGTGCCTCAGAGATTTTTCCATTTCCAGAGAATGGAACCTAATGAAGAAGAGAGTTCAGCGAATCACGAAGCCTGACAAACGGATTTACTCTTCGCATGAAGACGCTTCACAGAATTGTTACAGCAGTTTCGAAAGCACTTTGGCAGATGTTCTCCTATTCACAGAATGAAGCCTCTCTTCGGTATACAAAAACCGACGTTTACTACAACGGGTTGCGTGTTTCGCCACTTCCAACGAAGATTAATATCGTCTGAGATGTAACAGTCTTATCTTCTAACCTGAAGATGGAGGAACAACGTACCTCCGAAACATCAGTAATGATATACTTGACTACACGACCTCTTATCTTTTCGACTATGAACATGAAGGCATCGGGGCTTTCAGAAACGTCAGCAACGATCAACCAGATATTTTTATACCCTGAAGCTGAAGCCTTCAGGCCCTTCCGAAACGTCAGCAATTATCTACCAGACTTCAAAGCCCAAAATCTCTCCTACCTTGAAAATGGGGGAAACATATACCTCCAAAACACCAATAACGATGTACCAGACTACACTGCGTCACATTTCAGAACAGTAATATTCAAACGATGTTCGTTTCTAGTTTTGTAGCGACACCTTATCAACTTCTTGCGTTATTTACCGTTACTATAATGTCAAATTGGAGAATAAATGTGAATGAGCTTATTTTTCTGGAGGTACTGAAGAAAACAAGGCAAGAAAAGCCAGTCACTAGGCAGAGACCTGAATAAGGTACCTCTTGCCCATACGAAATAGGAGAGCAGCAACTACTAGCAAAAGTGGACGTTAGAACACTCTTGCCCGTAAGACATCCTCTCTGATGGAATTTTCCAACAAGGTTATGAAGTGTACGGAATTCAACCAATTGCGTTTTTAAATATTCCTAACATAACTGTTCAAATATATACAGACCTGTGATATGAAACCGTCTATTTTGGTAGAAAAGTATTGGCGCTTCCGAAGAAATATCCTGCCTGAAACCTTGATGATGGAATCACCAACCTGCTCCGAAACGTTACTTGTCTACCACTTTGTACGGCGTCACATCTAGGAAGACACTAATCTTTAAAAAAAAGGCTTCCTTCCGTACAGTCCTTCCATTACTAATTCAACGGAGCCATCTATGGGGACCTGCTGAAACTGCCTAGCACACGCATGTAATTTTGTGACGTCCCACCGGAAATCGTGTAGAAGGAATCGTAATTTAGAATAGGCATTCTTCGATACCAAACTCGCCTTTCGCGTTATGGCTGCAGTCTTCTTAAAAATAACACAAATACGTGCCGAACTACATGTCATGAACAGCACAATTATCTACCAAACTACACGGCGTCACTCCCATAAAACCATAAAATTCGTAGCTCTCTACGGAACTACACAGCGTCAAATCCCAAGATTCTCGCAATACTGACACCTACATACCAAACCACGCGGGGTCACTTCGGATAGGAAACCGTAATAATGGTACACATCTACCAAACCACACGGAGTCACATCCTAGAATTCCGTAATCTTGGTACATATATACAAAACTACACGGAGTTACACCCAAGAATCCCGTAATCCTGATGCTCATCTGCACGTTTTCAGACCAGTCAAACGTAATCTTCATACTTATATACCAAACTACACGGCGGCATTCACACAAATATCTATCTACGTAACTGCCACGGTCCCACATCCGAGAATCCAGTAATACTAATTCACGTCTACCAATTACACAGCGTCACAACGCACAAGACCGCATATCTACCAGACTACACGGCATCACGTTCCAGAAGATGTACTTGAAACACCCATTGTCAGTAAAACCTTGAACCTTTAACAAGCCACTTTAACCTCTTACATTGACGTAACATGTCGCTGCTTGTCTCTTCACTTACCTTTCGAAATGTCACGAAGAGGGGAGAAAGTAAACGTGATGAAGGAGGAAGAATGGAGACTTGACGAACACGACACACACGGAAGTTACGTCATACGACCGGTTTGCGTCGCGATGCCAAACCACCTGAACACTACTCACACACTGCAACTCTGTACACAGACGACTCGGAGAGACGGCGTCGCGACGCATGCGCCCACCCCAGTACACATGACTTTACTATTAAAATTACTGGGCGGCAGAGCGAGCAGAGTCTGTTTTATCAATAACACGTAGCACTGCTTCCTACGGGATGACTCACCCGAATATTGGGTTTCGCGTTTCGTTTATAATCGCAAAATTGCTTGTTATTAACTTCGCCGTTTCTTCTGCCAGTCCGCTGGCTTCTCGTTCTGCCGTAACACATGGCAGCACAAGGGATCTGCGTTAAATCTAACGTGGTCCGTGGTCCGCGGTCCGCGGAGTTAGATACATCGGATAAATAAAAGTGAAATCACATAAAATTCTAAAAGCCCTATCTTGTCACTTTTTCCCCCAGCAATCGGCCTGAAACTTGTTGCTTGACAGATTTTAGCCTTAGTTCATTTGGAGTATCTCTCAACGTAACCGCTTTGGTTATGACGGAAACACTGCAGAACAATTTTCTACCAATGCATTTTCAAACACATTAAAATAATTCTCAGAGATATTGGGATTTCGGACTTTATCCATCGCCCTTAGAAAGAGCTAGCCTCAATCACTGGACCTATGATTGAGGCTAGCTCTTTCTAAGGGACCCAACAGAATATGTGTTTTCCCTCACCTGAGGACGGAAACAGATCCAGTTTCCGAAACGTCGTGTTTTTCTTAGTTATCTTAAAAACCAGGACGATGGATAAAGTCCGAAACCCCAATATCTCTGTGTGTTATACGCCATCGTCAGAATCCTATAATAATTAAAATAATTGTCACAAAAAATCATTATCGTACAATGCAATGTCTACAATAAATTATTAATTTCTTACTACTACTACTACTACTACTACTACTAGGTGCTGGAACAGCGTTNCAGTCCCGTTAGGGTTAAGAATTTTCTCCACGTCGTCCAGCCCGGCTCTGGGGTCCACCCAACCTCCTATGCAAAGAGTAACCGGGGCTCTTACCCCGGGGTTAAAGCGGCAGAGGCGTGAAACTGACCACTCACCTCAAACTAGTGCCGAGGTCAAGAAAACGTGGATCTATACATCCACTTCCCCATACGGCTTCATCGAGTAGTGCTTAATTATTTAAGCACAGGGACAACTTTGTACTACTACTACCGCTGCTGATGCTGCTACTGCTACTGCAGTAAGAACCGCTTAGAATGACTACTGTTTCTGTACNCCACGTCGTCCAGCACGGCTCTGGGGTCCACCCAACCTCCTATCCAAAGAGTACCGGAGGCTCTTTCCCCGGGGTTAAAGCGGCAGAAGCATGAACCTGACCACTCACCTTAGACTAGTGCCTAGGTCAAGAAAACGTGGATCTATACATACTTCCCCATACGCCTCCATCGAGTAGTGCTTAATTAGTTAAGCACAGGGACAACTTTGTACTACTACTGCTGATGCTGATGCTGATGCTGCTACTGCAGTAAGAACCGCTTAGAATGACTACTGTTTCTGTACTTTTTACCCCTAATATTCATTTCAGGGGAGCGTAGAGGACAACATATCACGACCTTGAATTTATGACATTCCCAGGCATCGAAATGGCTCCTCTCAGATCCCGATCAGCAGAAAACGTAAGGAAATTACTGTAACGCAGACTCATCAAATTTGTTCCTGCATCTGTAGCTGCAGGTTACGTAAGTTATGACGTCTTAAGGCACTGGAAATCGCTTCCACAAGAATGAATATCCGGCATCTACAAGCGTCTAGCAACACAACCACTCATGGACGCTCGTATGACTTGCCGTGCCAATCAAGGACGGACACTACTACGCCTGTTAGGCTAGACACGTGTACAGCTGAAACACAGTTGAGTAACTTACCGACAGATTTCCAGTTATTCATCACTTGAAAGTTTAATGCAGAAAACTGCAGAGACCTGATATAAATTTTAAGTAATTAATTTCACTTTAAGAGGTGACACGAAGAAGACAAACACAGAACACTTACACAACACCACACAATTACCGCCATTATCACAAACTATTCCATGATTTTGGCGCATTACGTGCCGGAAGTTTTGTGCGGTGTGCTGCGATCTGCAGTTAAAGGTACGAACTAAAGTCTTGGTGGGCGGTGGTGGGGGATGGAACCTAAGTTGCTATCTATGCGAAGCGCTGGGTACAAGAAGACACAGGAGGGTTATGCTACAGCCTCGGCGGCCCGGTTGGGGTCGGGGGGTGTCTTACAACAACCCCCTTTTTGGCTTTCTCTTAGTTGAAAATTGATTTCCACTGCTGTTTGTTCAAATTGTGACCATTACTTGTTAAACACCTCAGCATGTTACTCAGAATTGCCAACATAACTCTAACTGCAGTTTTGTTTCTTCCGTTTCAAGCCGGAAACAACACGCTGATTGTTGTAGATCGATTCCAGACAGGGATAAGAGCTATATCTCTTCAGAGCAGCGTCCAGACGGCCCAAACAAACTCTCAAGTCCCTTTATTCCTCTATCCAACGGAACTTTCGGTCTTCTGAAAATGAATGGGGTATAAAGCTAGCCGCTTACCTCCGTCCGGTTCCAAGGTTTACGAAAGCGTGGGGCTATACTTCAACTCCCCCATACGTCTTCAGGGCACGACGCTTAATTAAGCACACAAACAACTTTAAATTTACCTGATTTTGACAGTTTCATTGCCAATTGTGGTGTTCGTAGTTGGTTGAGACACTATGCTACAAGCAGAAAAGGCGCGGGTTCAATTCCCGATAAGGCCATTGGATTTTTTTTTAATTGACTTAAACTTTCCAGCCGCGCTATGGCCATGGGGTCGACTCAGCTTTTAACAGAAATGAGTACCAGGAATCTTCCTGAGGGGTAAAGGGCGGCCGGCGCGTAAGGGTGACATCCCCACCGCCATCTGTGGGCCGGTTGTCTAGATGATGTGGGAGCCTCGACGTCTCACAACCCTATGGGCCTATAGAGATAGATGTTCCCTTTATTGTGGTTTCCGTAACTGTGTCCGGATTTCGTGTTGCTAATTGCGACAAGGTCTGCAGGAAGTTGGGGTGATTTTGGTTGGGAGGAAGGGTAGAACTTCTGGTCGCTCTGGGCACCATTCCTGCCTGCGTGGGCCGTGGCTGACTGCAGCTACATTTACACATCTCCTCTGCAATTCAAGCGATATTCGGGATCTTGTTACAAACGCGATGCAAATGTCTGCTCCGGGCTCACAGCAGCCACGTCCTGCTACCTGTGGTTCCATGTGTATCGTGTAAGCTAAAAACATTGACCACTTGCCTGTAGTAAAGATAAAGTTGTCCCTGTGCTGAACTAATTAAGCATTACACCATGAAGGCGTATGTGGGAATGGATGTATAGACCTTGACCTTGGCACTAGTTGGAGGTAAGTCGTCAGCTTCACGCCCCAGCCGCTTTATGCCAGAGGAAAGAGCCCCCGATACCCATTGGATTTGAGGTTGGGTGGACCCCAGAACAGATTTGGATGATATGGAGTAGTGAAAATTCTTGACCTCACCGGGACTCGAACTCCGATCCCTCTGTCTTACAGCCAGTAGCCAGTCGCTATACCGACTGAGCTATTCCGGCTCACTCTTGCCTGAAGTTCCTAATCATTTGGAGTAACTAGCCACTGGAAACTGGAACTTCAAATTACTATGCTAAAAGCATGACTAGTCACCGGTCACCATCTTATTGTATTATGTTAATGATTTCATGATTTCATTTAGTAGACTGTTAGTGTGCTGCGTTGTAACCTTCTCAGCCCAGTTTCATGAAGTATATGCGATCTCCATGCTGTCTGCGTACTCCCCCCCTTAAAAAAAATTACCTTTTGAATGCCTGAACCAATCTCTATGAAACTTGGTATGTGTATCATGGCACCTGAGCCCATCTCAAAGGCGTACTTCATA